TTTTAAATATTTTCATTATGATGACAAAACGTGTGGCATTATATTTAGCAAAAAATTACAACTCTCTGATACCTGACAGTGGTTAAAAGCTTGGAGTTTTCTATGTCATTATGATTTAAGACGTCTTAGCTTAGGATAATCATAAGTTAGCTTTGAAAAACACTTTAAGATAATCTTACGACGATCCTAAGATTTTCTTAAGATATATCTTAAGAAATTTCTTATGAACAATCTTAGGAAAGTTTCGTAAACATGCCTGCTGGTCTATTTTCTATTCACACAGTACAGTGTAAATTATGTGGATGAAAAAAGTGGTTTTTTTTTTGTTCTGGAGAGCAACTGATGGAAATAATCAACGAGTTTTATCTTTGAAAGGCAAACTTTGGAACTCTTCATGTGATGTAAATGAAGAATGCAAAACCTCTTACTGCCATCCTGAAAATCAAGTGTGTAATTGTCCTGTGTACTCAGAAATTGATTTAGTTAATGAAGTATGTGTTGAAAAACAAGGTAAGATTTCCAAGTTATAATTGTTTTCCTGTGTATCACATTAATGTATATATCTTTATATCAACGTTTTTGATCATAAGTAAGAAAAGTGTCATTCCATAAGCAAAATGTATTGAAAACTGAGTATGAATAACCGCAAGTCAAATTTAAGATGTTCCATCTTAGTAGACTTTTATCTCAAAGTAAAAGAGAAGCAGAAAATGAATCATGTAGGTGTTGAGCAGTTAAAGAAACCTTTGAGTAGACAGATGGCATCAGTACATAACATATCTGTATTCAATCTATTTTCAGCAAAACCAACACCAGAAAAGCAACAATCGTGGTTGATCCCTGTCCTGCTGCTTATTATCATACTGATAATAATACTTATTGCTGTCATCGTTATATTCGCTAGAAAGAAGGGATACATTCTGTAATTATTAATATTTTTGCATAACTTAATATATCTCTTTTGCATTCTTTAATGTATATTTCCTATGTTGAACAAGGAATATATTATGTTGAATGCTGAGACCTAACTTCCTTAACAAAAATACTCTAAATTTAGCTGAGGTAAATTAAATACAGTGATACTTTCAATAATTATTAGTAAGAGGGTTGTCCAAAAAGTTCGTGGACAAATGCTTAATTTTCTTAATAAAGCCCGCAGTGGCAAACATGTACGATAATATCTTAATATAAATAAATATGCAAAATAAAAAAAAATGCACACTATATTATGTACGAGGGTTGTCCAAAAAGTTCGTGGACAGTGATGTTTTTGTTAAAATAAATGGTTCTATTTAAATCTATTGTATATCAAAATATTTATCAAAAAACAAGTCAGAGTGGTTTAATTTTTATTGATAGAACATAATAATTTGTAAAGGTCAATTCAATTTCAATTCAATTCTTTTATTCCTTGTATCAGCAGATACATCAGATTAACATAGTAGTTACATACAATATACTTAATTGCCATGTAAACATATATTACAATGTATTTACACAAGCATTAATAAATGTACATATCTATACATACATATTTATGTACTACATGTATCATAATAGTGAATATTACTCATTATTATAATAAATTTATTTTACTTTCTCGTAAATTACAAGCTTCTCTTAAAAAATTCCCCAGACCTCTTAATTCCCTTACATTATGAACACTTAGTAACTGTATTAATTTATATACACTACTATTTTGATAATAATATTTTTTAATATGTTTCTTCCTTAAATTATCATATGTTGGACATTGTAAAATTAGATGAAATTCATCCTCTATTTCATTTTGAGTACACAATATGCATTTTCTGTCATTTCTATTGGTATTTGTGTATCTACCCCTTTCAATATTTAAGTTGTGATCAGACATCCTAAACTTTGAAATTATTTCTCGATTTTTAGCACTTAAAGGTTTATTTAGGTAATATTGAAGGCAATGTGTATCTGTAAGATATTTGTACAATCTAGCTTTTGGCATATTGTCGATTTCTGATCTTAATTCTTGGATGTAAATATCTTTCATTCTCTGTTCAATAAGTTTAATAACATATTTATCATCATAATTTGTATTCATCAAAGAATTTAGTCCTAATCTATCCAGTTCTGTTTTAATATTTACAATCCATTCATCTTTTTCCTGTACCATTTCTTCATAACATGTCTTAAGGATACAATTTTCTGTTTTTCTTAACTTTAACCAATATTTCATAATTTTTATTTTCCTTAGGTCGCAGATATAGTGCGCACGGACCAGTCAGACGTTAAGCAAATTTCATTATAACGTCAAACATTTGGATTTTGAACTTTAACACATGTTCATGGCCACTCACTACATTTCTGTTTCAAGGCGCTACACTTCTAAGTGCTAGCAATAATATTAAAGTATAGATTATTATCTATTTAATTTTTAAAATTCAAAACAATGCAGAAAAATTTACGAGCGTCATCAATATAAACTAACAGTTTGCATATACGCAAACTGCACAGACCAGTCTGACGCTGCGCTAGATTTATTACAACGTCATGAATAGAAATCTCAATTTCCAATATTTTAAATTCTAGTAGTGTCTTCAAATTTGTACACACCGTTGAAAAATCGAACAAAACCAATCTCTAATCAATAAACTAAATATATTTCAATAATTTTGAGATGTTTAAACAAATAATCTTGTCTTTTACGTCGTTCCAACTGTATTAAAACGTTTTTTATGATTGGACCTCGGTCCGTGCGGACGGCCAACGTCGCTTTTTCTGTTAAGTTTTGACACATGTTTGTTCGGGTTTTTGTTTAGTAATTTCACTGTGTATATAGTAAGCGATTCTGATGATATCAGAAAATCGATTCTGATGATATCAGAAAATTATTATAGCCTCTTTATTATTGTTACTTATAAATTTTCATTAAGTTTTGACTTGTTTCATATAGAAAATAATCATTTTAATCCGAACACTTTTTATCAGACTTTATGGCATTTTAACCTTGGTCCGTGCGTACTATCTTTGGTCATTAAAGACCCCAATTTTTACAAAATTCTTAAGTTCCATCAATAAAAAATAAATCATTCTGACTTGTTTTTTCATAAGAAATATTTAATATACAATAGAATTATATAGAACCATTTATTTTAACAAAAACGTCATTGTCCACGAACTTTTTGGACAACTCTCGTACATTACATGTGTACATACTTTGTATATGCAAGCAGCTCGTACCAATCTAACCTAACGCTAATTTCATGATATCGTCAAAAATACGGATTTTGAATTTTTATCACTTGTTCATAGACACGCGGTATTTTTAGCTTATTTTTATTTATTTTTTTTATTTTTAAAATTCAAAACAAGTACACGATAATTAACGAGTGTAATCAATATCAACACCTCGTGTACACATGCTGCACAGCCCAGTCTGCGCTAGATTTATAACTACGACATGAATAAGGATACACTATTTTCATCATATAAATCTGATTTTCCACTTCTTGTAGTGTCTCTAAAATTTTACAAATCGTTCAAAAATCGTATACAAAATTTTCAAATCAACGGACAAAATTTATTAAAATGAATTCAAATTGTTAATATAAATATTTTGTGTCTGACATCGGTTCAACCATATTAAACCATAATTATATGATTGGATGCTGTCCCGTTTGGATGCCTGACGTCGCTTTTTCTGTTAATTTTTGACCCATACTTCTTGCTTTTTTTCGCTTAATATTCTCACTGTCTGTAAAGTGAGTAATACTAAAGGTATCACAAAATAATGATAACTGCTTTGTTTGTGAAATATTTCATTTTTTTTTATTAAGATTTGACTCATTTCATATAAAATATAATCATTTTAATCACAACACTTCACTTAAAAAATATGGCATTTTTACCTTGGTCCGTGCGCATTATCAGCGATTTTAAATGACGGCAATGTTTAGAAAAATAGAAAGTTCAAAAAAAAAAAACTACTCTGACTTGGATTGTTATAACTAATATTTTGGTATACAATAATCATATCTTGACCCATTCATTTTTACAAAAACGCCATTGTCCACGAACTTTGAGATATCGTTGTTATTTAGCTGAGATAAAATACATTGATACTTTCATTAATTACTAGAATTACTATACAGTGAAAGTATATCATTTAAGGAGTTAGCAAGCTTCCAGTTCCCCAAGACAAGGACTATTTCCCGGGAAGTAGTCCTGGTCTTGGGGAACTGGAAGCTTGCAAACTCCCTCAATGATATTCTATAACTGTTTTATTATACCGATACAAATTTTAAATTTTAAAGATCACCTTTAAAAATATAATCATTTACAGATCTAGATTAACTAATCTTATTCATCGCAAAAAAATATTACATGTAGAAGACAGATATTCCCTAATTGTTATACAATCATTGCATTTTTTTTTATTACGTCTTATTTTGTTGCGTTTTGTTATACGAAATACGTCACGAAGTCTTGTGTTTTTGCGTCTCTCTATTATGACATTACAATGAAAAGCTGTAACTGCGAATTAACATGACTACCTTTTGACCGAAGGATTAGCTAAAAAAAAAAAAAAAACTAACGCACGGGGATTAGCCGATTCACTGCGATTTCTATAGAATTGTTAAAATATAATCACTTAATTTTTTATAGGGAAAAATCAAAAAAGGTATAATAATGATCGTTTATATATATTTTATTCGGAAAGGACTTTGGGTGTCAGCTGTTGAACAAATCTATCAGATAAAAGTGCAGCAAGCGTTAAGCATTATCTCTTACTGCGGGAGTTGGTTGAAATTAAGCACATTATATTTTATGTAGAACGGTTTGCTCAGCTTATATTTTGCTTCCTTATTGACCTTTGATCTTGAATTCTTTTTCATTACAAAGGTTAGAGATAATTTTATTTCATAAAAGAGAACTTTATGACTTACAAACATTAACAAAAACCTTGATTTTACAGATGGAGGACTGGAAATGATGCCACGTTTACATATTCGGAGCTAATGTCATCATCCAACCCATTGTATGCGTAAGGCATTCCTTATTTAAAAATACGTAGGCATTTATTTATATAAAATTGATACAATTTCATTATTTCTCCTTAAAATCTCATTTATATTTACTTATATAAACAAAGATTGCTAAAGTGTCCTAATGTGTTAACTCATTTGTAACAAGTCACTTAATTTTGAAAATTTGAAAATAAAACAGTTAATGTCGTGGGAATTGCTTTCTTAGTCTTGGTTATTTAAGGGTATGAAATTTTTTTTTTAATTGGTCTTTTAATAAATAAAACGAAGTGCATATTAACCAACGTCCCAGTATATGGATTTTGTTCCGGAATATTCGATTTTTCTTGTTAAAATATACATTATCTACCAAACTACTTTCAAATGTCATAATTCAATGATAATTTATGTAAATTGCAGGATCATGGTCATAAAAAATAAATCATCATTAAAAATAGTTTCTTATTTACTACAGACTTCTGTGTTGGGCTCGGTTTAGTAATTGAATTGCTTCTGAATTAAACTGTCAAAATTATGCTGATTTTTAGATATAATACAGACGACAAGAGTTCGCATCGAGGTTCTGTAATTTCTATAAACCAAGCAGCGGATAGTACCCACGGGTAATATATCTTAATCGCACTTCTTTTTTCTACATATAATATTCAGCGTCATGTTATAACCAATAAATTTCACATTGTTTATTTTGATTTGTTTGTAGAATACGTCTGAGTACATTTGGAGATACCTATGAGAGTTTGTATGATGATGTTAGTTGGCCAGAAGAAGAATTTAGGGTAAATATTTTTTCCCCTTTTAAGAAAATACATTTTTTTAAAGCTCTAACAGGGTGTTTTAAGACTAAAATTTGATTTTTTTAAATTCTTTTTTATCATGTTCAGAGTATACTGAGATCCTGCGAGCAGAGACCTACAGACATCGGAGCAGCATCGCAAAACAGACAGAAAAACAGAAGCAGAGATGTCTTGCCTTGTAATGTCCCTTTTTTCTAATGTTTGAAATAATGATATTTTTGTTTACTTCTCGAAAAGGGCATCTATATATTCCCCAATACACTTGTCTCTTTATCAGTGGCGGATTTAAGGGGCGCCCCGGCGCCACCCCCTAAAATTGTCAAAGTTAGCATAAAACATTGTTTTGTCGAGAAAATATTTAAAATGTCTACTCGGTAGACCTCATTTTTACTCTACAAAACCTCTAGAATCCATGAGCTTTGCCCTGGACCCCCACCAGGGCTTTGCCCTGTACCCCCTGGGGCCTTCAAGGCTGCCCCCAAACCCCCTGCCTAAATTTTGTGCCCCCCCCTAACTTCAATTCCTGGATCCGCCCCTGTTTATTCTTAACGATTGGATATGCCGTTGATAAAAATGAAAATAAAACGGCTCGTTTTTTAATAAAGTGACATGTAATTTTTGCTCTGCACTTTACGCTTTATATTTTTTAGACGACTACAACAGATTGAGGGAATCCGGTACAACCAGTGTGAACGACTACATCAACGCAAGTGTTATAGAGGTAAATAACTTGTAAAACAGTGGTGCTTTCAACTGTAGATTTGATATGATTTTAATAATTATACATGTACATGTATGCTGCTTTGTATTTTCAGGGTCTACATAGTCACTACCCTTATTACATCGTGACACAATATCCACTCATTTCAACTCAAAATGACTTTTTGAGGATGGTGTGGAAGCAAAGAGTAGCATCGATTATTAGTCTTGTTTCCAGCAGTGAAAAGGTATTTTTTCTCTCTAACTACTGTAAAATCACATATTTTTGTGGGGTCAAATTTTCAAAGTTCAAAGTTTGGGGGAAATTATAGGTTTGTGGGGATTTGAATCATTTTGGAAAATGTTTAGTAGTAATGCATATGGAATTTTACATTTAGAGGTGGTCATAACTCATCTGTCTCTCCATACCTCGAAAACAACAAAAATTAAACCACCACGAAAACTAGTGATTTTCCAGTATATAGTCTATGTATATTACAAATGCTTGTTCTTTTTTCTAAAAGTACTGTAAAGGTTTGATATGTTTTCATGAAGAAAAGATAACTCGGAGAAAAACAAATCAAAAGAACACAGTATATTTACATACAATTTTTCACACATATAATCAATATTTTTCATGTTTATGAACTTGGAATTGGCAAATATCTTACTTGGCATATACATCAAAAAAATAACTTTGTCTCTGAGTGAACCTTCACTGCCTCAAACCACTTCTTTTATCAAATAATTACATCTTATGCTGTAAAATGTTTTACATTTGGCTCTGTATTCCTTTTAGCGCCCTTCGCGGAGAGCATTATCCGCTAACACTACTGAATTAAATATCCCCTTAGATTCCAAAAAAATCCCCTGTTGTCCCACTGTCAGTCCCTGACATTTTCCTGTCTCTTCCTGACTTTCTCCTATGATCCCCTGTCGTTGTCCCTGCTCTCCCTGTCTAGTCCCTGTCGTCCCCTGTCGTTGTCCCTGCCTTCCCTGTCTACTCCCTGTCGTCCCCTGACATTCTCTGATCTCCCTGTCCAGTCCCTGTCGTCCCCTGTCGTTGTCCCTGCCTTCCCTGTCTACTCCCTGTCGTCCCCTGACATTTATTTTGGCCAAGAAAAGGAGTTTAAAAAAAATTTTTTGTTGCATTTAAGAGTGAAAAATGATATAGTCTTGAAAACTTTAAGTATTTTTTTTTTTTTTTTGTTGAAAATATAGACTTAGTAAAAAGTTAACACATTTTTAAATGCCTTAACTAAATCCCCTGTAATTTAGTTTCTATCACTTGTATCAATGTGATTTTTTTAGTTTGGTAGCATTTCGGGGGGAGAACGGCAGAGAATTGCATCATTCTAAAGAAAAAATAAATTACCAATTTATCTTGTGATGGTAGACGGCATATACATTGTGCTTTATGAACCTTCTATATATATTCATAAACTTTTTCATTTTTGATTTGATCTACTTTGAAACATCTTTGAGTGTAACAACTGTCTTTGTAAAAAAAAACTAGATTTAAACATTTGGGAATACGTACATTATCAAATCCATGCATGGGATATCTTGTTTTCCCAAAGAATTAAATGAATACAAAATTAATTGAAAGGAATAACATATAAATGCATTAATAAAATAAATGCTTGATTAATAAATAAAAATTATTAAATAAACTATAAATCAATTTTATTCATTTATTTTCTTATGTGAATAAATCTACAAATCGACTGAATTAAGAATCATAGATAAATAAATATATAATGAAAATTATATAAATTTATTCATTTGGTTGTTTATTTTTTAATTTATCACTCATTTATATCCCCAAAATTTGTTTTATTAGTTTTATTCTATTCCTTTGCTGAAATATGCTACAAAGTATTTTATTGGCATATTTAAACGACTTTTTATTACTATAAGTCCATGATGGATATCAAAATAATCGTCTCATTACGCACAGTATTAAGCTGTCAATTTGATTTTTGATACATTGATTTGATTGAAAAAATCGGTTTTCAAAACCCTAAGACTGTTCTAAAACAACATCAAAGCCATTGATGTTTACCAGTTATTAACTCGGGGTACACAGTCATGACACCTATTATCTTTTTCACTGACCGCTATACCTCGGGCTCGAAGTCGGGATCGAAAAGCAATTAATTTAAACAACACACCGCGCCGAAATTCAATTTTTTTGGAGGTTCCACGCAGCCATGTTGAACTTGATCATGATGTTGTACAGAAGGAAAGTGCGAAAGAGAGTGTCGTGAAAAGGACAAGCATGATTAGCTTTGGAAGGAATTTCTGTTTTGACAGAAGATGAAGACATTTTACGACCCTGTACTTCGGTAGGAACAATGTATAAAATTTTATCATGTGTCCTTGAATGAATAATATACTTCTGCTATTGACAATGTTACTGTTCCTTATTCTAGGCACTACACATAAAATGCCTGACCGTAAAAACGTTTGGGCAAGCGCTATTTAAATTTTGCAATAATTATTTAACACTTTTAAACATCTCTCATAAAGATGGATTTCAACCAGAATTTCCTCGTTTGGGATTGGTTCAGGAATTTTAGTGTTCCCCTGTTCAGCATTTACAGAGTATGTTATACAATGTAAAAAAAATATATTCATTTTTTAATGCATGTTCAAGATCATATTCAGCACTTGTTTTGATTATTTAATAGTTGCAGTGGACTGTGCCCGAGACGCTTCCCCACAGTGCCAGCGTTTATAGTCAGCTTGTGAAATTGGTGAGAATCATGCAGCTCAATTTTTCATTTAACACGAATAACCTAACATTGTTTTTATTAACTTGTATTTTTTAGCATAATAAAAAATATTGCAACAACTTGAACTACCAAGTAAACTAGACGAGGTTTATATTCTTAATTTCCTTATCCTAAAACTACAATAGCAACTGATTCTGACGGGTAATCTAAACATAATATAAAATCATTAGAGCTATGCATAATTATTTAACATTAAATCTTATGCATAAATTATTAAAAATAGCTATTATATTCTATGATGCACAATTATTCATGCATTATTTACAGGAATCTGAAATACTCACAAGAAGGACAAAAGCAGTATGAAAAAATAACACAAAGGTAGGATTTCTTAAATTTTTTGATAAGATCAATAAAATCACATGAATGATTTTTTTAGCTCACATGAGCTCAGTGTCTCACTCTGTCATCTGTAAACTTTTCAGATTTTGATTTACATTCATTAGAATTAATCCTAATTTGAACAAATAAAACCTTCAAGATACAACTTAATTCTTTCAGAAATTGTGCCAGAAAAGTTGAAAGTATCTATGGGAATGATCTGACAACATCGAACTTGCTGAGCCTTCCTTCTTAAAGTGACATGACCAGATATTTGTCCCAGTTTGAGGTACGAACTATTCATTTGTTGTATGACTTATTTTGTATGAGATTGCTACCATTTACTGTTCTTTGAATTTCCTGTCCACTTTAAACCCCTGCTATCTACAGTGTAACGTAAGTTGTAAATATATTTTATTTTATGTTAAATCACTTGCTCCTTATCCCAATAACTTGCATGTTAAATGCTAAAGATGCTAACCTTTGCATTTTCGTAAACTCTTATATTCTACGTGTTCTGAGTATGATGCGCTATTATGTACATCCGTTTCGTATCATGGTTTTTCATCACTAATCATAAATACATCTGTTTGTGTATTTTTTCTATGAAATGCCATACCTGTTATTGATTTTTCATATTTTTTTAATCCATAGTATCTTTCTGCTGAATGAAATAAAATATTGTGGAGGAACACACAGAAAAAGGCACCTCAACATGTTTAAGTTCAAGCAGGTAAACACAGTGGTAAAACGCTCAAAAAAGATGGCAAAAAGTTACTAGTCCCACATGTACATCCACAAAATTTGTAGCTTGCTGGTCTGAAACTATAGATACGTACTTGTATGTCTTAATATGTTAAATGCTGTAAATGCTATTATTTGCGTTTTCGTAAACTTTGTAAATCTTCAAATTGCATGTGCTCAGAGTACGTTACCATTATGTATGTTTCGTATCATATTTTGTTGTCTATAAATTTGATCTATGCATATAATTATATGTTTTTTATGTAATTCTCTTAACTAGATGACACAGAGAATTTTATCATTGTGTAATTTGTTATCTACTTGCTTTAGTCATAAGTACACCCTGTTTGTACATCTTTTCTCCTTTTTTGTATATTCTTTCTATGGAGAGCCATACATGGTATTAATTTTTTCATATTTTGTTTGTTACAGCTTCTTACCATATCCAGAGTATCTTGCTGCTAAATGAAAGAAATATTGTGGAGGAACAGAGAAAAGGGCACCTGGCAACATGTTCAAGGTGAAGCAGGTAAACATAGTGGTAAAATGCTAAAAAAAAAGATGGCAAAAAAGTCATTAGTACCCAATTTACATGTACATCAACACTAGCTTCAAAATTTGTAGCTTGTTGGTCTGAAATTATAGATAAATATTTTATTACCCAGACTTGAAAAAAATTGCACATCTTTTATGGTCTTCTGTAAATGTCAAAGTTCTGATGTTAAGAGAACCGCCTGTTTAAACAGCAGACTAAAAAACAGTATATGGAACAAAACTCACAAACCCCTTTCTGTGTCGTACAATTGTTCCTTTTTAGATCTACATTGCAATCAATATAATCACACACAAATGTAAACACATCACCCCATACATGAAATATTAAAAAGACTGCCATATGCACTTTCTTTTAAAATCTGGATTGGTTAAAAATATTTCAGTTGTCAATAGTTAATCAAAATTGAGCTGTGTTTCCTCCAGGTCAATTTGATAAGTTTACAATCAACTTAGATTTTGTGTACTAGTTAATATATGCATAAATCCGTAAGCACACGTATAATATGTATATATAGGCAAATGGGTATTTATTTGTATGTTTGTTGTAGAAATTAGGTGCTAGATGTTCTTCTCCAGAGCTGAAAACTTCTTGGGATGAATAGAAGAAAAAGCAATTGCAAGAAGAAGCAGTTTTAAATATTGTTTACGTCTTCATAGTACAAAAAATGATTCGAAAGATGATACTATCTATGAAATTAGTAAACTGAAGTGGCGTTCTGATGAATGTGAAAAAGCCTTCAAAGAACAGGACACCAAAAGTGCCACTCTCAAATCAAAACACTCTAAAAGGCAGAGCATAAGAAGAACTAGGACAAATAAAGAATCTAAAAGAGTCAAACCTAATGATGTAGCGATTGAACAGAAATGGGCTATTAGAGATCAAATATCTGAGTTATTACTGTTTTGCACAATTGTGATGTTTTTTTTTACTTAACTTTATTTGACACATTTAATGGTAGATAAAAAAAAATATACCTAGTGTTGTATTTTTGACAGTTAAAGGTTTTTTCTGATACTTCATTACAGATTAAATCTGTTATATTTTTATTGTTTAAACATTGATTGGTTTATTGTGTAGTATGCAATCACATACATTTTAATCTTGATTAATAAAATACATATATGTACAAGTTTGACTTAAATACATGTAATAAGTGCATGGACATTTATTGTAGAAAAAAATAAGACAATCAAGGGAAGTCTGAAAGAGCTTTGCTGGCAGTAAGTTGCAGATCTTGATACCCAAGTAAGAGAGAGGTGGTGTCTCTGACCGATCCTTTTGCTCTTGCTTGTGGGCGAGTGAGGCTTCTCTGTCAGTGGTTTATGTTTATACAAGACATTTTATATGTACATGTACATATTTCAGAGCTCATTCTTGTAATTTTGAGGCAAAGTGTAGAAGATTAATGACTGAAAAAATATCACTATCAAAATGTCTTGCATTCCAATGTAAAATGAGGATATTTTAAAGTTATAATCATCAAGCAATAAACCTAGCAGTTGGAACATATATGGGGTATTAGAGACAAATTATCAGCTGTTACTATTTTGTGTAATTGTGATGCTTTTTCTTTAATTTGAATTGACATAACCAAATGATATAAAAGATTTTTTTGTGTTGTATTTTACACACTCAACATAAAGTATTTACTGTACTCAGTTAAAGATTTAAAATTTAAAGCTGTCTTATTTTTTTATTGATACCAGACCAACCGGCTTATTGTGTCGCACACATGTACATACACTTTTAATCTCTGATTTACTGCCATGTTTTTACAAGTCGATAATAAGTGCATGGACATCTATTGTGGAAATACTTGGGAAACAGTATAAGGGTAGTCTGAAAGAGCTTTGCTAGCAGTAAGTTGCAGATCTTGATACCCAAGTAAGAGAGAGGTGGTGTCTCTGACCGATCCTTTTGCTCTTGCTTGTGGGCGAGTGAGGCTTCTCTGTCAGTGGCTTAGTGTGTCTTAATAGATGTACATGTAAAAAGAATGGACATTTTATTTATTGCCAACTTTTATTCTTTTATGCAAAGTATGATACGATTTTTTGTGGAAAATTGAAAAACATTTACAACCCATGAAGCAGTTTCAATAGGGGCAGTTTCAGTCACAGGTTTTGCAGTCTTTTGGAGTCAAGAATGACTGCATTTTTTACCCGTTTTGTTCTGATTTATTGCAGATTTAAATTTTACAAACAATTCTATTTCTATAATTATATTCTTATTGATTTATTTGGACATGATGACCCATTGCTGTCAGGGTATCTTAAATAAATAAAATTTTAATTCCATTTAAAGTGTTTTGTAAAATACAAAATTATTTCATTTACTTAAGTATTATTTAGTACCTACTACTAGTATGCAAAAGTTTACTCCATTATACTTGCGCTACATTCATGATTGTAAATTATTAAATGCTGACATTTAGATGTTAATTTTGAAATATCTTATACTTTGTTAGAACTCATTGTTTGTATACTATTGATATAACATGAAATAAAATTGAATGAGAAGAGGATTTGTGTATTGTAAAATGCTTGCAAAAAACACAATTATAAACCATATGAAATAATGATGTAATAAGTATTAGATAAAAGAATTATGCAATAATATAATTATATTAAATTCATCTAATACAACCATAAATGTTAATGATATGGGAAGGTTTAATCCATATATTTTCATCACATATACAAGAGATTCAATATTAGTTTATGAAAGATTAAAATTTGAACGTATCAGTAAGTTTACAATTTTCCGTATATAACTTAATTTTTGGAAGTATTATAAAGTAAAGTGTGAATTAAACAAAAAATAATTAGGTTAAGTTCTACATTAAATGTTATTAAACGATCAAATTTCATATAACCATAAAACTTTTATTTTATGGTCATGTTTCATAATATTTATACGTTTTGTATACTCGAGATATAATATTTGTTTACGGGAGACTTAAATCCGAACGTATTAGTAAGTTTACAATTTTCCAAACTTTATTAAATTTGTTCTTTTAATTTTTTATTAAACTCGTATTAAATGCTGATTATTTTCTAACGTTTACGATCCCACAGTATGTTATACTATTCATTTAAACATTAAATAATCGCAGCATTTAAATTGCATTTAAGGTAAAAGTAAACCCGACTTTTCATGCAGTGTAAATGATTCATTAATCTGTTGTATAACAAAAATATCAATTTATTTATTTCTTTTTGCAACTGAACATACAACAAATTAGTCAATCATTTATATCCGCAAGAAATTGTTTTTCTTTAGTTTTATTTTATTCATTTTTTTATTCATTTAATAATGGAGTGACTTTCTACCGTTTGTAAAAAAAAAAAAGGAAGAGAAGACAGCATGGGTACTGGCGCATTTTGGAATATTTTAGTTTTTAAAATCAATACAATGATTGATTTTGAATAGTAAGTAAAAATAAATTAATAAACTAATTAACTGCATGTATTTTATCATTATAAAAACAATGTTTTTACTTTTAAAATTGACGATACAAGCAAACTTTATAATCATAAATCCGAAAATGGGATTTGTTTGGCATATTCTATGTAAAACTATTTACGAAAAAATACGTGTCAAAGTATTTTTGAAGCATATTAAATCTGCTTTTAATTATTTTACTTCCATGATGGATATCAAAATAATCGTCTCACTATGCACAATCTTTACCCGTTTATAGTTTCTTTGATACTTTTATTTTGTTTTGATTGAAAAAATCAGTTCTAATAAAAAGAGAAAATGTTATTTCAAACAGCTGCAAACTACACACAGTCGTCCTGCCACAACATAAACAAGGTATAGCGGTCAGTGAAAAAGATAATAGGTGTCATGACTGTGTACCCCGAGTTAATTACTGGTAAACATCAATGGCTTTGATGTTGTTTTAGAACCGTGTTAAGGTTTTGAAAACCAATTTTTTTAATCAAATCAATGTATCAAAAATCAAATTGACAGATTAATATTGTGCATAATGAGACAATTATTTTGATATCCATCATGGACTTAAACTAATAAAAAGTCTTTTTAATACGCTAATAAAATACTTTGTAGCATATTTCAGCAAATATATAAAATAAAACCAATAAATCAAATTTTTGGGATATCAATGAGTGATAACTTAAAAATAAAGAAATAAATGAATAAAATTATATAATTCTCATTATTTATTTATTCATTTATCTATTTATTCATGCATTCTGAATTCAGTCGATTTTCAGAGTTATTCACATAAGAAAATAAATGAATAAAATAGATTTTTAGTTTATTTAATAATTTTTATTTATTAAATAGACATTTATTTTATTAATGCATTTATATAGCATTCCTTTCAATTAATTTTTTATTCATTTAATTCTTTGGGAAAACAAAATATCCCATGCATGGAGTTGATAATGAATTCCCAAATGTTTAAATCTAGTTCTTTTACAAAGACAGTTATTACGCTCAAAGATGTTTCAAGTAGATCAAATAATAAATGAAAAAGTTTATAAATGTATAATAAAGATTCATAAAGTACAATGTATATGCCATCTAGCATCACAAGATGAAATAAATTGGTAATTTATTTCTTGTTTAGAATCGATGCAATTCTTTGCCGTTCTCCCCCCGAAATGCTACCAAACTAAAAAATCACATTTATACAAGTAATAGAAACTAAATTACAGGGGATTTAGTTAAGGCATTTAAAAATGTGTTATCTTTTTACTTAGTCTATATTTTCAAACAAATACTTAAAGTTTTCAAGACTTTATCATTTTTCACTCTTAAATGCAACAAAAATATTTTTAAACTAAATAAATGTCAGGGGACGACAGGGAGTAGACAGTAAAGGCAGGGACAACGACAGGGGACGACAGGGACTGGACAGGGAGAGCAGGGACAACGACAGGGGATCATAGGAGAAAAACAGGGAGAGACAGGAAAATGTCAGGGACTGACAGGGGGACAACAGGGGATTTTTTGGAATCTAAGGGGATATTTAATTCAGCAGTGTAAACCAAGCACATTGCGAAATGTTTTGTTTATTTTGCAGAAAGAGCTAATCAAATCTACGCTGTTAAAAAATCAGTTACCGTCAAATATCATACATGCCAAATAAAATACATTTACAATGTTCTTCCTTTTTATTTAAATTGTAGGAAGTATACTTTCCAACAAGAACTGGTATGACAAGAACTTTTGGTAAAGTCAAGGTGCAAACGCTGTCAACATTAACTGTTCACAGGTGTACATTCCGATGTTTAAAGATTGTGAAGGTGAGAGAATTCCGTCCTCTCTGTTAAACATTGTAGTTGAATATATTTTAAACTTCTTATTTTATGTTCAATAATGTATTGATTGGAGCTTAACTATATTTTGTAACTAAATTTTACTTCAGGGGTCAAAGAGCCACACAGTTAATCATTTTCAGTCATCGTTTCTCTCAAATTTTACGAAAGATGAGTGTTCCGATCTTTTGAATCTCATTAATCTTGTACATTCCAATTCTGAGGAGGGGTATGATAGCAGACCACTTGTGATACACTGTCTGTACGTTCTTATTTTGCTTTACTTTTGAGTAAAATAACAAATTTATATTTTTTCTGTCTCACCGGATGTATTAGTTCTAGCTAACTCCTTAGTATATGGTTATCTAAGTTTTGAATATATTTGTATATGTTTTATATTTGAAATCAGGAATGGAACTGGTAGATCTGGTATCTTCGTTGCCATGGATTATCTTATACAGCTCATTAGGAATGGTGATACTCATGTTGACATTTACAACCTCACACACGTCCTGATCGCAAATAGGGAGAAATTAATAGAAAACGAGGTGGGTTATAAAGCATATAAGCCTCTACGAATTTTGCTTGGTTACACGATGTTTACAGTATATTTTGTGTAAAATATTATTCAGGATTAAAAAATTATTTTTAATTCGTATATTTTTTTATGAAATACAATTTAAAATCGAAGTATTATAATTTTTAAATTTCTCTGAAGCAGACTGATGACTCTCTCTCTCTCTCTCTCTCTCTCTCTCTCTCTCTCTCTCTCTCTCTCTCTCTCTCTCTCTCTCAATATAAAATGATTTTTTTAAAAATGAATTGTTCTGAGTGAGAAAAAAAAACTTTCATATACATGATTTGGAAGAATGAACTGGGAAGTCAGGCAAGCAGTGTATATAATTATTTATTTGTATATTTCTAGACACAGTATCAGTTCCTGTATGACTGTGTAGAATTATATTTGGACCACGAGAAGAAAAGCCCACCTCTTAAAATGCCAGAGGCTAATCCTACGGAAGAGGAAGGTATATATCTAGATCTATAGCATGTATTACTTTATTCTTTAAAGAAATAAATTTCTATGAAATGATTTGGTGTTGGTAACACAAAAACATTGCACATACCGGTATAAGTAAAAAGGTTATGTCAATTAAGTTTTAGAGACCAAAAAAGCTGATTGTACATATATAAATAAATTGATATATATTTGTACAATACGTTATTGGTACATGTATACATAACATAATAGTAAAATTATGTTTGTGAGACTAAATAATTATGAAATGGTTTTTAAGCAAATTAATGTTGACTTGTAGTAATTGTGATAATATTTACTTTGTGAAGCTAAGATTTTTTCAATAAGTACTGCAAAACCTTTAAAAAGATATTACTTTTGGGTAATTCAATAATAAGAGTTCATTTCATTTTAAGTACGGTACATTTTTTGATCTAGAATGTAACTTTTAATATGTTAATGACAAAGAGCTGTGTTGGCTCATCTTGTATTATTTTTTTTATTGTAGATGTTGGACTTATTGAACTGTCTCCTACTGATAAGACCACATTCTTTACTAAGAAGTACTGAGGAAAAATGCCTTTTAAGTTTAAGAAATGTTCTGAAATACCAGAAAAATTATCCATAGAACATTATGCAATGCAATGGGCACAACTACTATTTCTTGATTCCGCATATTTTACTTACCGAGAAAAACTTGTTAGCTTTATAATCTTATTTTGTATAAAATACATACAGTATTTTGGAAAACTTGTTAAATGCCTAAATATATTAATTTTAAAAATTAAAGAATGAGTGATTATAACAAATATTATAAAGCGGATGATGAATAACAAGCTTTTGTATACTGGCAGGGTTACGTTTTAGTCACTCTGTACTGTATAAGACAGTACTATTACTACTCATTTCAAATCAATATGCTAAGTTTCCTCTTGAAATCTTTAAGACTTCAAATCTTATTCTGTAACAAATTTTTGACGGAAATGTTGATGCTTTATAGAGGTACAGTATTATAAAGGCGTCGGTAGGCATTGAAAATTGGGGTATACTTTTTTGCTGGTTTATCCCCCTCCTTTTTAATTAGCCCCCAATACATGTATCGATTTGCATCCCGCCTATGTATTTATATTTTTTTAAATCGATTTTATTATTCATGACACTCCCCAGGGATTTTGTGTGTCTTTGGACACTATATAAGTATTGTATCCTTGTGTAAAACTTCTTCTCTGTTAAATATGAAAGCATTAAGAAATATGTATTTGCTAATATATTCCTGTTGATAACATTCTAATTCTAATCCAGTAACTTAAGGATTATTGTGGGAAACGAAGCGTTATAAGTGTCGTGTTTTACTTTCTTTACTTTTACTTTTCTTTAAAATCGTTATGTTGTATGAAGATTCAAACATATGTAGCTTAAATTTCATTTAATATTTCAATATGCAGGGAATGCACTTTTGATTTTTTTTCATATAAAAATTTTTCATTCGTAAACTTTAATTATACCCTTACCAGCATTTTTTTGGATGTTTGGATTAGAAATATTTTATATTTATTAGAATCCCTGCAAGGTTTTTCAAAATATAAAATAATAATATTGTGTTAAGTTTTTGATTTTCAACTGCTCAACTTATGAATTCTTATGAAAACGTTTTTGTCTTGCATGTCTTCCAAATATATATCTTGAAATTTATATGCATGTTATACAATGTATTACTTAATTTTTATTTTTGTTCGTATCTTGTCCCTTTGTACACATTGATCCTAAGGTTTATATTGAATAAAATTTTATAATTTATTGCCTCTTTTGAATATATACATGTCAAATGACAGTGTTTGGACCAATCATGATAATGCAATTATATAGTCTTTTCCCCTCCCCGGAACATACACTACCGTTCCTTAAAAGGTTTTGGAGACAAAAGTACAAACAGGTTACTTAAACAATAAAATGCTTTCTTTGTTTGTTATTACTGAAATGAACGGAAGCAGCTGTTGCAGAAAAAATACATAACCCACGTAAGCGGGTTATGTAAATTTTTTCTGCAATAGCTGCGACCGTTCATTCCAGTATTAACAAACAAAGAAAGACATTTTATTGTTTATATTTATATCTGTTTAAATAATAAATTAAAGTAGGATTAAAAGATTAATTATTGTATTAATGATTCGAACGTCTATATACGTTTCATTGATGGAACAGCCACTGATTAAGAAATCTGTACAGGCGACATGCCTACTGTAGTTTATGCAGTGATGAACGCAATGGGGTTTCTTAAGAAATAAAGAAGAAGATATTCAGTGGATGTAAATATATTATCCATAACATATAGTGCAGGTCCCAGTTTCAAACAAAAAATTAAATGGATGGGGAATCCATTCACCAAGTGCTTGTGTTTAAAATCAAAAAACTTTTGAGGACAAATTTTTGTGATTCGGAGAAAAAAGCTTTGATAAATCATCCTGAGGATTAAACCTTTCTTTCCTGATCATAATTGTATAACTTAAAATGAAGTTTGCAAACATCCTTCGAAATCAAGTAGAGACTTTATTTTTGGCGGTACAACTGTTGTTAAAATATCTTCTTCTTTTAAAAAAAGGCTAAATTGCTATGAAATATAGAATTTAGTACTAAACAAATTGTTTTTAGCCCGTGAAATCTTCCAGCAAAAAATAAAGGAAAAATTCATCAAAGAAATGAATTATTATAACGAACAGAATTCGAGCTCAAAGTCTGAAGTCAAGAAAAATCGTGTGCAGAGCAAACACGAGTCTCTTAAACATCAGATGTAGGGACCTACCTGTATCTTACTTTTATCTTCAGAAAAGTATAGATATATACGAATTTTATTCCGTTTTCCCAATCATGACAAGGAACATATGACTACATGTATTACAAGTATTAGCTTTCCTAAAAAGCTCGTCTGACGTGGTTTGCTTAAATTTAAAAAGCGGAAAGGAATAATATATTATGTTATATGATTTTTTTTCGTTCGATAATGTATCTTCAAGAGACCATGCGTAATCAATATTTAATACAATAATGTACAAAGAACTTTAAATTGAAGCTCCTGGCTCCAGTCCAGGATCATGAAAAAAACTATAAGACTTAAGTGAAATTTTTATTCGCCGATTATTTCTTCATTTGCACATAACATTATCTCTGTGAAACAATATTAAAAATATCCCTAACCCTAACCCTTCTGGTCTGCTTGACTTTTACAACATTTTATTATAAAATAAAGATTTTGATCGACTTAGGCTTAAGATGTTTCAGGATCCCGGGTCAGCATTTTTCAAATAATGTTTTAATGTTAAATGACCTAACTGACCTTTTATTCAACAAACAGAATAAAACAATGAAGGTTGTAAATGACGAAATCAATGGGAAGATCTTTGATCACTTAATGGGCGCGTATAACCCTAATCCTAACCCTGGCTATTACAATCTTGGCAGAGCGTTACACATGCTGACCATTCTCCTGCTGTTCTTAAAAGCTTTCATTGCTTCTCAAACCATTTGATGTACAATGATTCTCTATACTTAACACTGTTACGTAATTGATTGATGAAATTCTGAACTGAAGCACCTGGGAAAAGAAACAAAAAGATGCAAACTAATTTACAATGTAATATCGTCCAAAATATAATCGTTGGATAGTAGTGAAGAATAACACTTCAGCAACATAAAAATCTATTTACACAATAGAGAATTAAAAGCGAACTTGAATAAGACATTTTTTTCTGTTTTCACTGCATTTTTCTCAGGCACTGTGTTATCATTTTTTACAATACTTGGAGCAGGGCAACAAAGAGAAAATATTTGACCACTTGCCTGATGTTTAGGTACTAGTAATTCAATGTCACAGTATAATTTTACTGAAAATAAGCAATCAATTATTTAATCATAACATGTAAAATGATTAATCTTTGATACACAACACAAAACAGTGAGATTTATATAATAAGGCATTTTTATAAAGAACTGAAGCGGACATGAAAGATGAAAGCACGGATTATACTAAAGACAAGATCATTCAGTAATGTAAATAAAAGCTTATTTCCTCCTGGGACGAACTACATACGTATTAGACCTATTTAAGGCAGATATTTTAAGCACCGCCTTCAAAAATACTGTATACAGGTTTTATTTCGCCCCGTGTAATTTTCGCCCTTTCACACATGCAAACAATTTTGCCCCGTTTTAAATTCGCCCACTCATAGTTTTATTTAAGTAATTTTGCTGTATTCTTTGAATTCGCCCCGTTTAAAATTCGCGTAAATGAGTGTAGGGCTAAAGGGGCGAAAATAACACGGGGGCTAAAATTTCCCTATACACAGTACTTGGTCTGGGTAGCCCTGTCAATCAAGTAGATGAAGGTCCACCATTGGATGCTGTAACTTGACATTTATTTTCTAGTCCATGTGTATAGCATGTACACCTTGTTTGGCACTCGTGGGGACCTTCAAATTAACCTTTGATCCTTTAATTTTTACCGAACATGGTCTAGAGAAATTATTACTTATAATTTTTTTGCTTGATAATATATTAATTAAATATACCATTAGTATTTGAAGGATTATGATGTGTATTTTTAAAAAAGTAAACTTTGGTACATAATTTTTTTTCAAATGAAATTTTGATCATTTTAGGTTTAAAAATAAAATGGAAATGTTATTGATTATAAGTTTAGAACAGCACTGTGTAAAGTAATTAAATTGAAAAATATTTATAAACGTTTCTTATCATGGGTCACATATTTTCCTTTGTTTTTCAGACAAGAATTACAAGCAATCTTTTATTGCATGTTTATGGTGACAAGGCTTTATTAAGATTAGAATAAACTTAGAATTTTTAAAATATGAAATGTAGTTAACATGACTCTATTCATTTAAAAGATGGGATTCTGGGGATGAATGAATTAAGTCTAATCTAGTTGTTACTGAAGATTGTTTTGTAAATTAACATAACAAATCAGAAAGAGAGCCTAAATGAACCTATAAAAACGTAAGGGGTAATATCAGTTGCCATAGTTAAGTAGGCATTCCCTATCAACCGGTCACATGGGGAAGTAGCCATTCCCTGTCGACCGGTCACATGGTGAAGTAGCCATTCCCTGTCGACCGGTCACATGGTGAAGTAGCCATTCCCTGTCGACCGGTCATTGTCTGACGTCACGGCGTCAGACAGTACTAGATTTAACCAGGGCTTATTTATGCATTATTTAAGCCGTCATTCAGAAATGAAATTTGATTGTCCTACTTTGCACTTTTGCTAACATTTATACAACAAGGAATTTTTATACACCCCCTTTACCTATATAAAGACATACACGACAAAACATGGCGGAGAGTCCAGACGATTCTGACAGGTACGTAACCTGTAAAACAATGTTTTTGTAGCAAATGGTGATCTTTGAGACAAATAAGATAATTGCTTTGCTGACGTTGACTTCGCTGACTTGTTAAAAAAGCAAATGAAATGGTATACCGGTATATATACATAACTATATATATATATACATAATAAGTCTTCATAACTACAACACTTTTCTCGATTATGTGTCATTTATATAACCTTCCACTATATTGCTATAAATATATTTATAAAAGTTACGGTAAACACTTTGGTTTGTTTACGGAATTTGGGGGCGTGGCTGTGCCGAAGATCGATTGGTTTAAGATTTCGAGGTTCTGTAGGTTAAAATCATGCTAGGCATGTATATTGTCGTATTGGGTGGTATTAAGGGTTTTTAAGTCATTCGAAGTTTCGCTGCTTTAAGTTCAACAGCTACCAGTACTAATGTCGAAGGAAAAAGATTTTTTGGCTGATTATCGGCAATCTTCAGACGAAGATTCCTTGCTGAATGACATTCCTTCTACTGTCCATAAGGATTCTACGCAGAATTTGGATACCCCTGTCGTTATTCCGGAGACAGAGAAATCCTCGTCAGACCTGGCCGACACCTTTAACCTGTTCAAGACTTATTTAGACTCAAAGCTCAACACTCTGAAGGAAGAACTTTCTGTGGGTAACGATTTTGACGATTTGGCTAAGAAACTTAAGAAAGACGTTTCTGTGTCTTTAAAACACGAAGGAAACAAAATTCAATTTGAATTCAATTATGAAATTCTGAACGATTTATCTAAAGTACAGAAAAAGTTGTCAGTCAAAAATTCTGTTTCGTCTGCCATTATTTCTTCTGTTATTAACAAGATTAACAAGAGAAACAAGCTCATTCGTATAGCAGATAAATCACCAGCGGGTTGGACCACTGTAAGAGAATACGAGAGTGATGACCTCGCCTCTAACTCGGACGACGAAAAACGTATGCGACAGGCGGAGAATAAGGCGCTCCGGGTACTCAGAGAGAAACGAAGATTCAAGCCTTATTCCAACAGGAATGCATCAGCGACAATTTCTGCTCCTCCTGACCGTAGGCCTACTCCTTCTCATCAGCCCTTCCGTTTCTCAAGGCGTCGTGAAGCATCCCCATACGACATCTGTTACAACTGTAGAAAATACGTGCACTGGAAGTCGCAATGCACAGCAACCTCTAAATCAAGTTACCAATCTCAGGCCACAAACAATTTAAGTAACCAGTAAATCAATTGAAAAGCATGACATTTTTGTTCATGATTCAATTTTGAACGAACAATTTGATTTGTTTTTGAATCAAGTAGATTATTCTGAAAAATTACCTGTCTATGGCAAAGGTGTTAAAGTAAACTTAGCTAAGCATGTTGAATACTGGAAAAGTATTGGTGCTAGCGATTTTGTTGTTGATACCATTAATAACGGTTATGTAGTTCCTTTTCAGACGGCACCACTCCAATGAAGTTCAAGAATAGTAAGTCAGCTCTTGAAAATGTTGACTTTGTAAATAGTACGATTTCAAATCTGTTAGAATCCGGCTGCATTGAGAAAGTTCCTTTCCAGTCTTTTGTTGTTAGCCCACTTAGTGTTGCAGTTAACAAAGGTTCGGGTAAAGAGAGTCTAATTTTAGATTTGAGCGAATTAAATTAATTTGTAGATAAAAAGAAAGTAAAGTTTGAAGATTGGAATGTCGCTTTGAATTTTTTCCAAAAAAAAAAATGTTTTCTTTTTAAGGTGGCCGACTATAGTTTTATTGTGTGAAAACTACAATAGCGAAACTCTTCATTTTTATACCATATGTAACTTGCATTAATTTCAGTGTACATGCAAAGTTTAGGGGAAATCTACCGTCCAGGTATTTTTGAGGGACCGTCTCAAAATACAGGAACATTTACTATTGGATTATATAGGAAAATGCCCATTTTTAGCACTTTCAAGCAAATTATACAAATACTACAATAGACGTTTTGTTCAAACTATAATATTTGATGAGTAATACTATATTATACAATATATGTTAGAAACACAAAATTCTACCGTCTTGTTACCTGAGGGGGCATCTCAAAATGCAAAAAAAAAATTAACGAATTTTACTGTCTTTATAGAATACTTCAAAATATGACGGGCACAAAGGATTCATATGAAAACATAAGAAAAATAAGGGAAATATTCTCAAGTTTCTATATTTTAAATTTCAAGAGCCTATGTTTATTAATTTTTCTTTAATAAGTTTTATTACCCCTTTGTTTAAGAACTTCAGATTATCATAACGTCAAAAACACACTGTAACGACGTCAACCTACCCATCAATTGCAAAATCGGTTTAAAAATCAGTAATATCAAATTGTAATTACATTTTTATAACTCTAATTTCTTAATTTTGTTCAATTTTAATAATTAAGCTAAAAAAGTTGCATTATAACAGTAAATAAGCTTCATTTTACTATGATGCGCGAAATATTGCGCAATGGAAACTATAGTCGGTCCCCTTAAATTCGATTTAAAATCAGGATACCATCATATTGATTTATGTAGAAAACAGCTGACATATAATTTTCGTTTTGTTGGAATGACCAGTTTTATTGTTTCAATGTTTTATCGTTCGGTTTGACTTCAGCACCTTATATTTTTACCAAGTGCCTTAGACCATTGGTGAAACACTGGAGGAACCATGGTATTGACATTGTTCTTTATCTTGATGATGGGTTCGGTTTTGGTAACAATAACGAAAATTGTTTGAAAGCTTCGAATTTTGTTCGTAATTCTCTTGTTCAAGCAGGTTTATTAATCAATGTTGAAAAGTCAATATTTCAGCCCAAACAGTCTATGGAGTGGCTTGGCTTGATATGGGATTCCAAGACAGTATCTTTAAGTATACCGGAAAGAAGAATAGCGGATGCTTCAGATTCTTTGAAATTTATAATGAATACTTTTCCTTTGATTACAGCTAAGAACTAGCGAGGTTTGCAGGTCAGATTATTTCGATGTCACCTGTTTACGGAAATGTTTGTAGTTTGATGACAAGACATATTTATTTAACAGTGGAGAGCAGAGCTCATTAGGACAAATTTATAAACTTTGAATTTCCAGACATCGTTAGAACAGAACTGAAAATTTTGGTCACAAAATTTGTTTAAGCTAAATCTAAGGCGTTTAATTCAGGAATCTTTGCCTTTTACTATAGCATTTTCAGATGCTAGCAATGTTGCTGCTGGTGCTTACACTGTCGAAATGAACGAAAATGTTTTTCAACATGTTTGGTCAGAAGCTGAATCTTGATGAGTTCAACTTGGAGAGAGTTAAGAGCGATTCAATTAGCTTTATTTTCTTTTTCCAGTTCACTCCAAGGCAAGTCTGTGCGGTGGCACACAGACAACCAAAACTGCGTAAGAATTGTCCAGAGAGGCAGTACAAAAATTCATTTACAAGATCTAGCATTTAGTATAAATGTATTTTCTATTTGTGCAGAATCTGGTATTTCTTTGAATTTAGTTTAGATTCCAAGAGAGCTGAATACAAAATCCGATTACATTTCTAATGTTGTTGATTTTGATAATTGGCAAACTAACACAGAGTTTTTTAATTAATTGATAGTATGTGGGGTCCACATACGGTGGACAGATTTGCTAATGCCCAAAATGCCAAATTACAGAGATTCAATTCTTTATTTTGGTGTCCTACTACAGAGGCAGTAGACGTTTTTTCGAAAAAATGGAAATTCGAAAATACCAGGGTAATTGGCTAGTTCCACCTATCTCTTTGGTTTCTCGAGCAATTAAGCATTTACAATTCTGTAGAGCTAGTGGTACGTTAATCGTTCCAAAATGGCCATCATCTCCTTTTTGGACTATGTTGTTTGGTCAAAATATGACAATCAAGAATTATGTGAATGATGTACTAGAATTTGAGCCAAATCAAAATGTGTTTTGTCATGGTACGAATAATAAAAGCCTTTTTTGCTCAAGTTATTTCAATTCTAGAGTACTGGCTGTGAGGATTTGCTGTGAAACAGTTTAGACATGGCCCTTTTTCAAGATTGTCTTGAAGAAGCTGGCAAGGTCTAAGAGTATTAATTTGTGTTAGACATGGCCCTTTCAAGACCTGTCTTGATGAAGATGGCAATGTCTTAGAGTGATAATTGTGACTGAAATTTTTGTACAGATATACTTTTTGATGTAGACACGACCCTTTCAAGAGTTTGTCTTGATGAAGCTGGCAAGGTCAAAGTTATATGTATATAGATTTTGTTGATACAAGTATCACATTATATGCACAGTACTGAATATATATATATATATATATATATATAGAAAACAGAGAAATAACGTCATAAAGATGTGACGTTGCAGAATGACGGTGAACTTCGACGCAGATTTTTTTTAACCACGTGTTTTGACGTTTGACGCATCCAAAGTTTTTATCGCTGAACATTTCGAACATGTGGAATTTAGTTTCACATGCCAAGAAAACCTTAGCATTCTCTCCGTATAGCAAACTCAATAAAAGCCGAATTAACATTAATCTGTGATTCTTCCCCTGGGAGACGTGCGGAAGCAATTAATGTCCGCAGTTTTGAGGGAGGGATCTTAAAATTTACTGGGTTAAAATTATAGGTAGAATACTAGTTATTTAGAAGCCTTTGCCCCCCCCTCCCACCCATTGCCTTTTTCGGGTGGGGGGGGGGGAAATGAAATTAATTATAGTAAAGTAATTCTTCAATAAAATAAGCTGCCTTTCAATTTTTTTTACGTAATTCAATTTCAAAATATTTTTTCTCAGTACAAATTAATTGACATCGGGTAGTTGTGGAAGTACCGCGTCGAAATATAGATAAAAGAGTACCAAATTTCCGGAAGTTTACATCATTTCCTGGTTGAACAATATGGAGATGAGTACTGAATGGGTAGACGTTACCCGATTGGCTATGTATATATTTTCATTTTAAAGTGAATATTTTCTTTTGATTGTTTTTTTTTTCTTATTTTCTCCAGTCCAATTTTTTTAAAAAACAAATTTTGGTACCAGTGCCTCTGGCATTTTACGTTTTTGTATAAATAAAGATTTTTGACAGTAACTTTTTAGGGTATTTCTACTACTTCCTGGGGTAGAAGTTTATTTTTTCTTTAAGTGAGAAAGCTTAAAACCTAGGATCCACCCCCAGAAGTCTGCTGCCGTAAATTGTCTTGCTGGCGTTTTGGGAATATGGGTGATTTGCATCAATTCCACTTTTATTGACTCCATCGCTGTCGAAATCGGACGAGATTTCTTGGCATGTGTATAAATTAATTTAATCAATATCTGAATCTCCTAATCCACTGATTTTAATAGATATAAATAAAAACATTTAGAACTGGTTTCTTAACAAACATTATTAATTAAATACGTCTCCGAGTATAATACCAATAGTTTTCCTACATGCGTAATATTAAAATGTATAGAAGCTGTAGACAAGGTGTTTTCTGGTAGCATATTGAATCTTTACACTCTAGATAAATTTTATTTACATATTTATACCATTTTTTGAATACATCTTAGACAGGGTATATCGTAAAAAAATATTGCAAAGGAAAATTGTCTTCCTACTTCTTTGAGATCCGCTCCACCACTCTCAAATACACATCGCGATCGCGTCGATCACATGTAACACCGTGTATATCCCAACATGCGGGGTGTATACTATGTTGTGCACGGGGTGTATGCTTCCGAAGCGAGAGAAAGGGGGTCGAGGTACGTTCTTTGTCCGTTTTCTCAACTTACGGATATTTTTCGCCGGAAAACATGTGCCTACGGAAGAAAGCATTATCTAAGGAGTATATGGATACCTATGAATCCACTGGACACCTTCTAGTTTTATCAAACACCTCAACACAATTCCGAGGATCGGAGCAAGATTGACGCTACACTGTGTTTATGATCAAATATTAGAAGAAAGCTTTGCTTTATCATCACTTTTATATTATTGTCAAATAAATGTTTACTATATAAATGTTTGTACAAATTGTCTGTAAATAAAACAGTTCGTATATAAAGATATTGACGTAAAATCAATGTTGTGTCCGGGGTGTATGCAACATGTTGTACGCGGGGTGTATACCCCTTTCTTTTTACTCTATAGTATCATTGTCTGAAATATCATTAAACAAGATGTGTTTGTGAAACACTATGCGCCCGGCAGCAACAAAGTTCGAAAAAAGCTATTTTTAGCATATAGGTCACAGTCAAGGTCCCAA